TTTTCTCTTGCCAAGAGCTGAACCCACTAAAACAGGAGATAGAATTTGTATCCTCATCTCTCATCTGGAGAAGACGCATGAAAACTGGAGACTTAGGGCCAAGCCTGGGATTTGGCAACTCTAGTGAACTGAGCCAGTGCAGGGCCTGAGGATTTTTCCCTGAGAAGCTGTCATATGCAGCTCAGTGGCTCATACATTCATAGAGCTGGAAGGGAATGCTAGAGTCATCTAGTTCAGCTCCCTGGTATACACAGCTAAAGCACTTCTGAAATACCCATCCAACCTCTGTTTAAAAAACCTACAAAGAAGGAGAACCCACCACACTCCAAGGCAGTCCATTCCACTGTCAAAAAAGGTCTTACAGTAAAGAAATACTTCCTAATATTTGAGTGGAATTTCTATTTTTGTCATTGGAATTCACTGGTTTTTGTTCTAGACTTTCAGTAGAACTGCTGTAGAGTGTAAACCACTGCCCATCATATTCAAATTTGTTCTAAGACATTTCCTCCAAGAGAGACAGGCTTCACCTGGCAAATTAAACAGACCCTTTTTTAAAAAAAGAAAGTTACATTTTTTTAATGTAAGTCTACAAAACTTCAGGTTTTTCAGGCAGACTTGCCAGAATGTCTTCGATAATGCACTCACACACCTATGAAAACAAAAAGTGCAGTCACAAATTCCACTCAGTGAGCCTAAGGTGGCATTAGAGCTGTACAGCTGGAAAAATACCAACTGTATCTATAATATATATTATCACAGGGAAAAAATTAATTCATTTTCTCTCTAAATGCAGGAATGTCCCATTATCCCCCTATAGGCCAAGCAAGAGAGATACACAAAGTATGAACAATACCCAGTGGGCCCTCTACATTTGCTTGGGTTACAGGTGCAGGACCCCCATCAAAGTGGGAAAAATGCAAATAAAATGCCTACTATTTTTTAATCTGAGAAAATACCTCTCTAGGAATCTCTTGGTCTTCCCGCACAACTCTATTGTCTACATCCACCAGAGGTTGACCTTAGAATTATGCTGGAGAACCTACAAATGCCTAGAGAAGTGTTTTCCCTAGGAATCTCTAGGTCCTCTAGTATGACTCTATGGTCAACGTCCAGCAGTGTCACACTGGAGGACCTAAAGATTCCTAGAGATAACATATTAATCAAATCCGTGAACAATCAAATCCAAAAAAGTTAAATCCTCAAATGTGGAGGGTCAACTGTATAGAATTCATTGTCACAATATATAATAACATGTAACCCTCCAACATCAATGGCTTCAGAGTGCATCAGTACTATTTTATTTATAGCCTGCCTTTTTCTCTTTCTATAGCCAGTGTGGCACAATGGCTTGAGTGCTGGACGACAACTCTGGAGGCCAGGGTTCAATTCCCATTCTGCCATGAAACCCACTTGGGCAAGTCACACTTTCTCAGTCTCAGGGGAAGGCAATGGCAAACCTTATCTGAACAACTCTTGCCAAGCAAACCACATGATAGGTTCGCCTTAGGGTTGCCATAAGCTGGAAATGACTTGAAGGCACACAACAACAGCTTTCTCTCATCATCAAAGCATTGCAATGAAACCAGTGAATGGGTGCTTCATCTCTTATCTCAGGTTGTGGGAAAGTTTGAGGCTCTGAAGAGTCCACAAGCCACAGTCCAAGCATTGAGAGCCAGCAGCTAGCAGTCTGCTAAGAAACTCCAGACATCCAGTTTAAACCATTACGGGAAGCTAAGCTCCAAAATCCGAACAAGGCCCATGATGCTGCAGGTCACCATCCAAGTCAAATAATGGATTCTGAAACAGCTGGTGAATAGCAGAAAGATTTTTTCCTAATATTTGCATTCATATTTTACTGGACAATGTATGCTGAGAGTCTCTATTAAGACATTCTTACATTCTGCAGACATCATTTTGACACATTTTTGAACAGGGCCTGGAAGCTCTTGTTTGTTCAGCTTTCCCCCCTGGGCACGTTGAAGAAGTTTGTTCCCTTGTAATTCCAGTTCTGCTCCAATGCGGAACACTTTGCCCAGGCCGCGTTCTGTTATTAACGCAACGCCTGGCGGACACAGGTGACTGGATTTGGAAAGAGTACCACTAACAGCCATCTCTCCTTCTCTCTCTCTCTCTCAACACATCGGTGACATAAGACATTGGTGAACAGGGAAACTCCAGAGAAACAAAGAGCTTTTTCAAATCCCCAGACACAATGCTTGAAGCCTTTATGTTACGAACGTGGTACAAAGCCAACGAGTCTAAATGGGTGATGAAAATGTGAAGCATCCATCTTTCATGACACTTTCATGACATTGCTGAAAACAGTAAGAGACATTGCTGAAAACAGAACTGGGAGCATCTCCACCACCACTCCAAACGTCCTATAGCTCACAATCAATTTATATCAGGGGTTGTGAAAGTGTGACCCATGGGCCACATATGGGCCTGTACTCCACTTTTGAGGCAACTGAAATCCTCTCCAAGGATCCCCAAATGTCTTTCCATCAGCAGGTGAAAACTTTGTATTCCATCAAGATTTGTGGAATTGCAGGCAAGGGCTCTTAGCAATAGCAAGCAAATACATTTCTATACTGCCTATCAGTTAACTAGCACTCCTTAAATCTAAGTGATTTACAATCTGTAAGCCAATTGCTTCCAACAAGCTGGGTACTCATTTCAGGATGGAAGGCTGAGAGGACCTTGGAGCCATCCTGTAGGATCCAATTCTTCAAACAATGCATTTCATACAGTGCTGTCCATTGATTTTTATCTTTTGCTTTTTAATGGATTTGCTTTTACATGTTGAGTCTCCCTTATCTGAAATGCTTGGGTCTAGGAGTGTTCTGGATTTCAGACTTTTTTGGATTTTAGAATACCCGTATTTGCATTGTTGTTGTTGTTGCTGATGATTATGATTATGATGATGTTGTGTGTCTTCAAGTCATCTCCTACTTATAATGACCCTAAAGTGAACCTATCATGGGGTTTTCTTGGCAAGTTTCTTCAGAGGGGGGTTGCCTTTCCCATCTGAGGCTGAGACAATGTGACTTGCCAAAGGTCACCCAGCGGGTTTACTATGCCACACCAGCTCTCTGTATTTGCATATTGTGATGTCCAGCCTGGACTGTTTAAATTCTCCCCTGCATTTTCCTTCATTTTTAGTTTAGTCCTTACTATGTTTGAGCATAGGAATTTTCCATTGTATTAGTATGCGGGAGGAGCTGTAAGTATCCCCTGCATTTTTCTAGTTTTTGGTTTGCCCCTCCCCAGCAAGCTCTGCTTCAGCTTGGGAATTTTAGGGTTTGTTTTTTTCTTAGGCAGGCTTGGCTTTATCTGTTTGGTAGCAAACAGGCACAGACAGACGGAAAGGGCATTTCTTACACCATTAGCCAATTTAGCCTAAGCAGATGGCTTAAAAGGCCATCCTCGGTGCAGGGAAGGGGAAGGGCAGTTGCACGCTCAGCGCCCCAACCCCCTCCCGAGGTCGTCCTCAGAGCAGCCAGCCCTCCGCACGGCCGGCACTCTGACGAGGACCTCCCGCCTCAGCGTCTGGATGCGCTGTGGCTGAAAAGTCAACGAAAGTGCGTCGCAGCGTTTTGCAGCACACTTTTGCTGACTTGTGAAAGGAGTGCTAATTTAGCGCTACTTTCAAGGGTGGTGAAGCTGTGC